TGGGTGACCCAACTGCATCATGATGCTCTTCAACAAATAACCCATAATTAACTGAAGGGCTGTCGGGAATTTAAAGATAAAAATGGCGAAGAAGTGTTAAAATGAATGTTTATTGTATTATGATATCATCATAGCCTTCTACGCAGCCGAATGGCTTCCGCATAGCCACCTATGTCAAAGCCGTGTGCTAAATTATGACAGGTTGAGCTGCTAGCTGTTGGTTAGCACACAAGCTAAGTGGCTCAATGACCGGACCACAGGGACTTTGTTGACACACGGTGAACCACGACTACAGTCCACTTTTAGCTAGCTGACACATCCACATTGCTGCCACCGAGCTCAAAGTCGACCAAAAGAGCACGACGTAAATAATCACAAATGAGAGCTAGCTAGCTGTGGCAGCACAAAGAATGAACATAGCCGTGTATCCGCCATGTTGAACAGTCCCTTTAAATCCCCGGGTCCATCTACAACCGTCTTAACGGTCAACTAATTCAGCATCCGCGTCGGTTTTATCAGGTTTTTTAGCACTCACCGGAGGCGGGCGGACTTTGCAAATGCCAGTTTTTTCGGCAATGGGACGGATCTTATTAATGAAGGCAAAAGGATCTCCAAATTCTTCCCAGCTGGGCTCGAAGACCGGGCACTCCGGAGGAGGCTTGAACTCGTCCGGCCGAGGCTGGCTCATCGTTTCGGACCGACCCGGTGGAGGCTCGGACAGGACGGGTCACTGCTTCCAAAAAAGCGTGGAGGTGTTGCGGTTCACCTGGAGTGTTTTGGTTTTTTTTTATGAAAAAGCCCGTCTGTTCACCGTCAGACTCAATGGCAGTCAGTCGACATCAACACCAGAGGAGGCAACACATACACACGCAGACACACACACACTCTCTCACACACGTACACACACACACACGCACAGTGAGGAGAATGTTCCAAGGCAGTAAGCACGTCCGCTCAAAAAACTAGACACCACACAGTTCTTATTAATGCCTGTGTGATTTATCAGTTTCCACAGTGTTTGGTGTTAAATCGACTTCTTAATAAGCAACAAGCGGAATACGTTTTCCATTTTCGTCAGTGTTGTTGTATAATAAATAAGTTGTGAATAGTTTCTTTTAATTAGACCCCGTTTTATATAAAGACATCATATTGTCACATTTTGATGTTTAATCTTCTCATAGCTTCAAACTGCAAATCTATACCTCTCTTGTAAGGCTGGATAACCAACCAGGCAATTGCACAGGGGCCCTTAAAGCCCAAAGTTTACTACAAATCTGTCCCTTATTTGTGTCTATCTGCCCTTATTGTTTTTATTTGATGTAATTCTGTTTGTCTTAACTTGACTTTTTAGGAGAGTCTTTGTATAAGCTTTCAGCTTCCTGTCTGTCCTGTACAAGCCCTTGTTAACTTTGGTTTAATGTATATATGAGTATATGTAGCCTACTGTAGGTAAAAGTATGTTTGTATACATGCAAGTGTCTTTACGAACATATTGTATGTATTTCTTATAACTGCATTTATTTTTAAGTAAAATATATCATTTGGTTCTACGTAATTGGATTAATCACAAATTTGCACCGCTGCAGTACAGAATCATCCCTGACAGCTTCTCCATCCTCCATCTCATCCTTCTGGTCTTGAGGAAGGATTCAGTGTCAAAAGCTAGTTTTATTATAGTTTATATTGTGCTCGTTTTTCTCTTTGTCAAATAATTAACACAGAAAACCTACTTTAAAGTAGTGTTAATCCATAATAGGAGAACTAATCGACTAATCTATCAACTAATCATTTCAGCTCTAGATCACTGGTCGGTTTCTGGGTGAAATAATGAAACTGCCATGTATTGTGGAGGTCAATAAAGGCTGAACACCATATGCTTGCCCTGGGGCGGGGCAGGTTAATCCAGCCATGCATTTTATAAAGACATCATATCATGAAATTTTAATTTTTAATCTTCTCACAGCTTCAAGATGCAAATCTATACCCCTCCAACCGGTCGCCCAGGGGCCCCAAAAGCCCCAGGTTTACTACATATCACTTGAGTTTACATAATTTGATTAATCAGAAGCTTGTACCACTGAAGTACAGTATATTATCAGCTATATTAAGTCTTCCATCCTCCATCTTGAGGCCCTGGTTTTGAAGAGGGACCATGAGCCAGAATGTAGGTTTAAGACTTTCATCATTTTAGTTTATGTTGAACTCATTTGTTGTATTTGTTGTTGCTCTTTTATTAGTATTATCAAATTGCTTCTATTGTTTCTGTGTGTCAAGTAATCAACACTCACAAGAGTCGTATTAATCCATCATAGAAGCAGAGCTGCAACCAGCAATTATCTTCATTATCAATACATCTGTGAGTTATTTTCCTTAAAAATCAACTGATTGTTTAGTTTATAAAAGGTGAGGGACTCAACAACAACTTTTTGCCCGTAGTAGGTTAATCAAACCCTGCTCTCCTGGCATTGGATTCAGTCGAATTTACTGTGGAACTGATGAGAGTTGGGGCTTTTCTGGTGACCAAATGTGTAACCATTAAGCTACAGCCAGGATCAAGATAATAAAAATAGCTGGACCTAAGGCCATGGTTTATCCTCATAAAATCTGTATTGGGCTTGTTTAGAGTGGTGAGTGATTTTTGGACCTAAACCAAAAAAAATTAAAAATGTCATATGGTTAATAAGTACACAAACATTTCCAGTGGTGGAAAGTAACTGAGCACATTCACTGTAAAGTTTTAAAGTTTTAAAGTACTTGTACTTTACATGAATATTTCCATTTTCTGCAACCTCTACTGCCTCTACTATATTGTATACTTTTTACTCCACTGCATTTATTTGATTATTTATTTACTCTATTACTTTTTCAGAATTCATATTAGTACAAAATCAGTATCCGTATCACAATCAATAAAGTATGATATATTGACTAAGATAAGTTAAGGAGTTTCTTGATCCCAAGGAGATAATTCACAAGCTCAGCACAGTAAAGTAGGCTAATTAAAAATGACCTCCACCTTTACCAGCTACTACATTAGTTTGATGTACACATTAATGCACCAATTACTACAATACAGCAATATAATACACATTATCCTAAAACTGGCCATTCTGCAAGGTGACTTCTTTTACTTTTGGTACTTCAAGTATATTATGATGCTGATATATTTTTTTGCACTTTTACATAAGGAAAATGTTTTAATGCAGGGCTTCTGATTGTAACACAGTATTTCCAAATCGTGATGTTGCTTCTTTTACTCAAGTCAAATGATCTGAGCAATTTCTTCCAACACTGAATATTTCCATATTTAAAGCAGGAAAGAGCTATAGGCGATTATCGTGATGTCAGCTCTTCAGGCTGCAGCCCAAAGTCTTACAGAGACATCGTTCAGTGTAACGTTTCTCGACACTTTCGACTTTATCACTGGCCTGAAAAAAATTACATCTAATAGTGATTAACATGACGTAATTTCTCGCGTCGTGTTATCAAGAGATAGTAAATTGTAGCCTAATGTATAAAACAATTCTCTTCTTTGTAGGCAGTCTTATGTTTACACTTGCGCGGATGAATATGTTCAGGTGACACCTTCATGGCTACCGGGACTCATTGTTTAAATAGCCAGTGCGTGCAGTTTGACTGGATGTCTCTCATAAGCGTTTTGTAACATCTGCTACTAGTAGATTCTTATCCATCACTCTGTATCACCAGGGAGGAGTGAGACCGGTCGCAAATCTATTCTGCTGCGGGACAATGACTCAAAACATACAGCCAGAGTCATAAAGAACTATCTTCAGAGACAAGAAGAACAAGGTGCCCTGCAACAGATGGTCTGGCCCCCACAGAGTCCTGATCTCAACATCAGGGAGTCAGTGTGGGATTACATGAAGAGACGCAATACACAGAGACAGTCTAAATCCACAGAACTGTAGCAAGTTCTCCAAGATGCTTGAAACAACCTACCTGCTAAGTATCTTTAAAAAAAAAAACAACAACTGTGTGTACTGAGGAGAAGTGGGGCTGTTTTAAAGGCAAAGGATGCTCACCAAATATTTATATATAGTTTTTTCTGTTTACTTCAATCTGTTTATTGCAGTTTGTATGAAGTCAATACAAAAGATAATAAACAATAAGTGTTGTTCATGTCATTAAATGCATATGCAAAGACAGTGAAAGTGAAAAAATACTGGCTTTACATCAAGACAATGATGCGAAGCAGACCTCAAAATCCACCATGAACTACTTCAAGAAACACAAGCTGAAGCTCCGGGTGGGTTAAAATACCTTAAACAAGAAACGAGGGACTGAGCTGGCTACAACGAGCATTTGCAAGCTGTGAAATCCGCCAAAGGGGGGATTACTACGTACTAGCAGTTTCTTATGCACACCTAACTAAAACTAATGCAGCTTGATACAACGGTCCTGCAATAAAGCTTCATGAAGGTTATAATGTTCAGTTTTTATTGATATTGATGCAGAGAGGTGTTGATTCAACTCCATGGTCATTTTTAAGGATGCAGTTGGTGGTGCTGTTGAACTGTGTTGCATTATATAAAGAGGTGTTTTCAGTTTTTTAGCCCAACCTCATTGAAACAAATTGGGTTCACAGAATAATATAGTACAATGCAGCACAGTTCAACAACACCACAAATTTCAGACTCCAAAATATCTATATAAATATATATCTATGTGAAAAAATTTGATTTTTTTTTAACCTAACCATATCAACACCTGGCATGTGTGTGTAATCTTGACAGGAAAAGATGGGTGTGTCCATACTTATTTAATTTAATCAATGAGATAAGGTACTAATTATTTAATCCTGTAATGCTCTGTTTGGGGCCATGGTTAACAGCTCAGAGAACATGCGTTGGTTTTGAACTGAAGAAATGTCTCAAAAGTCAGCTACAGAAAATGATGCATTACTTTTGCTTAGGGTCTCAAAACCCCAGCTGTAAAATACAGTGCATGCTCTATATTTATGATTCTTGTTAACAGTACATTTTACACTACGCAAACCCTCCCAAATAAGTCTACTTAGAAATCTGTTATTGAGGTGTAATTGATCAGAAACCATTTATCATGTCATCATGCAGACCCCGAACAATGAGAAGTAAATACGAACAAAACACAAGGGTGAAGCCTGTATTTCAGAAGGTTTTCATTTTACCTAATTATTTTATTAAAAGGTTATTATTGTTAGCTTGCTTGCACGTTCGTCTTAAGGCAATTGGGCATGTTTGACTTTATTCAGTGGTCTATACAGTGAGGCAGACAGGAAATATGAAGAGAGGGAGAGGAGTGACATGCAGCTGGATTTGTTTCAGAATATGAAAAGACAGTTTATTTCAAAGCACAATTCAAATACCACTTAGAGTGGCTTGTCTTCCTCTTCCAAAGCTGACATTATAAAACCAAGGCTGCAAGAAAGACCATCAGTTTGTTTAAGTCTTAGCTTAAAAGATACACACTAAAATATTGACTCATTACAGGATAAAATCATTGCTGTGCAGCCATCCCAGCTCAAAGCCTCACAAAGCTCAGTATTCTTGACCCTCATCGTCAGAGTCGGGACTCATTTGACCCAGCTCCTCGTAATCCTTTTCCAGACAGGCCAGGTCCTCTCTGGCCTCTGCAAACTCTCCCTCCTCCATGCCTTCACCCACATACCAGTGGACGAACGCACGCTTAGCATACATGAGGTCGAACTTGTGGTCGAGGCGAGACCAGGCCTCTGCAATGGCAGTGGTGTTGCTCAGCATGCACACAGCCCTCTGGACTTTAGCCAGGTCTCCATCAGGAACAGCAGTTGGAGGCTGGTAATTAATGCCCACCTGTTGAGACAAAGAGAGTGATCAGAGAGAGGAAGTGTCTCAAGTTTCATTTCTCACCCTCATAATGTTACTCACCTTGAAACCAGTGGGGCACCAGTCAACAAATTGAATGGAGCGTCTGGTTTTTATGTTTGCAATGGCAGCGTTTACATCCTTAGGGACGACGTCGCCTCGGTACAGCATGCAGCACGCCATGTACTTGCCATGGCGAGGATCACACTTGACCATCTGATTGGTCGGCTCAAAGCAGGCGCTTGTGATCTCTGACACAGTCAGCTGCTCGTGGTAGGCCTTCTCAGCAGAGATGATGGGCGCGTAAGTAACCAGAGGGAAGTGGATACGCGGGAATGGCACCAGGTTGGTCTGGAACTCCATCAGGTCGACATTCAGGGCACCATCGAAACGAAGGGAGGCAGTGATGGAGGAAACGATCTGACCGATCAATCTGTTGAGGTTGATGTAGCCGGGACTCTCAATGTCCATGTTGCGGTGACATATGTCATAGATGGCCTCGTTGTCCACCATGAAAGCGCAGTCAGAGTGCTCTAAGGTGGTGTGAGTGGTCAGGATGGCATTGTAGGGCTCCACCACAGCTGTGGAAACCTGGGGAGCTGGGTAGACAGCAAACTCCAACTTGGATTTCTTGCCGTAGTCGACAGAGAGACGCTCCATCAGCAGAGAGGTGAAGCCAGAGCCGGTGCCACCTCCAAAACTGTGAAAGACGAGGAACCCCTGCAGGCCTGAGCACTGGTCCGTCTGATGAGAGGGACAGAAGGACAGGAAAACTGACTGAAAGTGGCTGTAATTGATTATCTCTCTCTCAAATTGAATCGAAGGCAACTGGACTTGTATTTGTCTGTGGAAGACGTTTCGCCTCTTATCCAAGCGGCTTCATCAAATCATCATCAATCATTTGATGAAGCCGCTTGGATAAGAGGCGAAACGTCTTCCACAGACAAATACAAGTCCAGTTGCCTTCGATTCAATTTGAGAGAGAGATAACTATGACCTGGACGAATGAGAACATTCACAGACAGCTGTAATTGATTATTTTATCAACAATGTAGTAAACAACAATGTAGAAGAGATACAGAGAATTATGAGCTCGTGTTTGTGAACATTAACCACAAAGTTAAAGTGACTTAAACATCCACAGCAAATGAAGGGTTTGAGTGAGGAAATTCAAATGAGGAAATTCAACAAACATAAAAACAGATGTGAACAGATGTTGTTCGGTGTTGTTGGTAGGAGTATTTTATGGAAGAAAGTTGTTTTAGCTGTTAGATTTAATGAAAACATTTGACTATTACGAAATTAAAGGAATTGTTCAACATTTTAGGAAATATTCTTTTTCACTTTCTTGCTGAGAGTTAGATGAGACTTGATACCACTCTCATGTCATTCTCACGTCTGTCTGCGGAAATATGAAGCTACAGTTAGGAGAATGTTAGCTTGCTGATCTTAGCATTAAGACTGGAAACAGGATGCAACAGCTGGCCACCCACACCTCTAAAGCTCACTCATTAACATGTTGTATCTTGTTTATTTAATCCCTTCCAAAACTCAAACATAATAACAACAATTTGTGGCTCTATGGGGGCTTATGTGTTGGACTATTTCTTGGCTGGTTGCAGTCATTTCCTGTAAGGATGAAATAAATTAAATAATATATGGATAAAAGGAATAAGTGCATGTTAAACTATTCCTTTATTACAAATGTAGTGCAGAAAGTTAATGTGTTAGCTGATCTATGCGGTTTAGGCTCATGCAATAAACCAGTGATTTCTTTGTATGAGTAACATTATTAACACTATTATATTATATGTAAAAGCAAAGAAATACATAGCAGGAAAAATGTCATAAATGCAACAACGCTCTTTGTCTTCATAGCTCTTTCTGGAAGTTGTACAATAATGGTTATTCATATTAAAAACCATAGAGGAACTTATTCGTTTGAAAAACATTAACAGTAGTTTCATGTTACAACAGACCATTTTACGGACGCGCTCCATGACTCCATCAATGATTTCTTTCCCGACAGTGTAATGGCCACGAGCGTAGTTGTTGGCTGCGTCCTCCTTTCCAGAGATCAGCTGCTCAGGGTGGAAGAGCTCTTTGTACTTTCCAACCCTCACTTCATCTAAAATGAAAGATTTTATTCAGAGGGGTCGTTACAGATCAACTGCAACTTGGTTTAACTTAACAGACCAGGTCAGCTCCGAATGTGGAGGTTTTGCACTAAAACAGACATGTCCAACCCTATCAACTATTATTTTCCATTTCCCAGAAATACCAACTGAAAACCAGACTGACTTATAGGGAATTGTGTGTAAAATGATGCACACAATATGTGGAATTTTACATGTAGTGGAAGTGTTAAGGCATAAAAATCAGGTGTTGAATTTGAATAATTCGCTGTATGTGTGATATGATATGGAGCCCTGAAACTGCCAAAATGTAGTGAGAGGTTATTAGATAAGTCAAAAGTACAATTATAAATAATGATAAAAAACCACAAAAGGAATGTGTTGCTTAGAAAAAATTGAAAATAAATAAATGTTTAAATGTGTGCATAAAGTATAAAGCTTTATATCTTTTTTACACTAAGCAGAAATTGAAGGGGCATATTGAAAAAGGTTTTTATCTGGCTAAAATCGATTCTTGCAAGTTGCTATTCATACAATACACCTCTGTAAATGTTAGCCAGGATCGAATGAAAGGTAAAAGAGCCACCACTGCACTTGTTGCCTGGATACCAGTGTTCCCATCAGCAGTTACCTGCAGGACCCATGAGGATGGAGGTGTACTCACACTGGACGCATACAACTACATATAATAGGATGATAGGAACAGTATTAAAAAAACAAAGATAAGGAGAGTAAAAATAAACATATACAGGACTGCTCACCAACCACTGTGGGCTCCAGGTCTACATATATGGCCCGTGGAACATGACGCCCGGAGCTCCCAGTATTGAAGAAAGTGTTGAACGGATCTTCTCGTGAGTTTGGTTCTGCAGGACCGTCCAGGAAGACGCCATCAGGACCGACGCCGTGCTCAAGGCAGAAGAGCTCCCAGCAGGCGTTTCCTGTCTGGACACCTGCCTGGCCCACATGGATAGAGATGCACTCTCTCTGTACACAAAAAAACAATATAGAGAGAAGTTAAGGTGCCTGTCACAAACACCAAAGGCACAAAGACTCACAGTAATGAACCAAGGGGCTTCTTTACAATATCAGTTCTGCAAACCATGAATAATAACCACTTACTCAAAATTACATCTATAATTTAAAACTGCTTTTCAAAATAATGGTTGTGGATGTATATATCTGGGATGTTATTCCAGATAAACATGCACATGTATGGAAGCAAAGAAAGGCGATAAGAATTTGAATCTGAGAAGCGACTGAATACCTAATTGTGAAATTTAAGCATTAATTTAAATACTATTTAATTTAATAAACTACTCCGCCAGTGTAGAATTGCACCTCTTTAAGATAAAGGTCATGAGTGTGCAGATATAAAGCAAGTGAATACATTTCACTTTAAATTGAATAAGCCCATAAGACAAATTACAACTGAATTTAAAGTATTAAAATGCTTTACCTTGAAAACCATCTGTGAATTCCAGTAGTTTGAATTATCATCTTTGTCCAGTATCTTTATGATGTGCAGTTTCAAATATTTTTTTTTTGTTTGGTAGATAGAAAATTCAAGTGTCCATTAATCAAAAAATGAAATTCAAGTTGCTTAAATCTAATAAATCAAATTATTTGGTACTAAAAATGAAACCAGGTCAATGAATCAAGTGGCTTAGATTGGGCCGGGGAAATCCATACACTAAAATTCAAGATGAAAAATTAAAAGTTGATTTAGAAAGAAACCAGTCAGACCTCTGTGCTGTTGGGTTATGGCCCATCAGTTATGATCCAAGGAAAAGAGGTTCAGATGAGCAACTGAAAACCTGGCACACTTGAATTTCCAGTTGAAACTACCTGGAGGGAATTTAAACCTCATAAATACAAACAGATGATTTTCAAAGTAAAACATTTTATTCCAATAAATTAATTTGTATTGTAGTAATTAAATTTCACAATTAGTTGTTTATAAGCCTAAAATTCTAATTATTGTGGCCTCTTTTTGCTTCCATACACATCAGCTAAGTGCGCAATACAAACATGTCTGATGATACACTGGACTGTTCATTGCATTCGTGCGCTGCTTTTCTAATTGCTAAGTGTAAACAATGTCAAAAATAGGACAGGCTTATTTCAACAATTTACTGTTGCATTTCCCAAGTGCTTCCAGCAGTCATGTTTCAACATGTTGAGAATTTCAGCTTTTGTTTCCCCTGGAGGGAGAACATCCCCCAAGATGATTTTTTGCTGTTGAGTGACATATGTAAGACATGGATAGGCTAAAGGTTGGGATATGAAGACTTCCAAAAACTTACAATTTTCATATAGTCAACTACAAGCTGTTCAGAGCCAGAAACAGAATATGATTTATTCTGAGGCTGAAGCTTTGAGCTCCACTTGCAATAAACAGTCTGTCAGTGATTATAAACTCATAAAACTAGAGTAGAGCAAAGAGTATTAGCCCATGAGGACATTATTTAGGCATTCAAAAGATGTGCATGTTAACAAAGTCAGCAGCATCTTTAATGTCGATTATAAAATCATATCTCAGAAAAACTAAGATATACAATGTGATTTATGGTAAACACATATCAAACTTTCCCAAAATAAATGGTCACCATTTCTAATAAATTGTTGTTCTCTTACCATGTTGCTCCAGATGTTATAAATAGTTGGTTCTGGTGTAGGATGCTGTACTTTTATTGCGTGTCAACAAGGCTCCAGACACACTGTAATTCCTGCGCAGTGTCCCGGGACGAGTAAAGTGTCTCCACCAACACAGCCTGCTCTGTCCCGCCCGCTGCCAGCTGCTCTTTATACCTGCAGACAGTCTCACCTGTGCGTCTGTGTGACGGTGGCGGTGCTTATTCAGGCTTTAGAAAACTAAGGAGGGTGTAGATAGAAGGAGGGAGGGTAGGAGGGATGATGACTTTTGAAGACAAATCTCCCTCAAAAATGTTGTTTTAGTCACTTCTTAGCCTTTTGTTACTGGCATGCAGATTGACTTGTCATTGTCTCAGTTCAGCATTACTCTATTTTATTCTCTTATTTTACAACTATTCTCTCTTCTATAAAGCCATACACACAGTTTTTGAAACCTTATCTTTTGTTACAGCAACAAGAGTAGGAAGAAGTTCCTTTAGTTAATACAACAATGTTAAACTGCTCCATTAAAAGTGGCCTATGTCTTGTATTTGGAATCATACTAAAGTAGGATTAGTAATAGTAGCTTTACTAAAGTAAAATTACAGCATAAGTATTATCAGCAAAATGTAAAAGTACTTGTTCTGCAGAAAAGTTACCTGTGTCTTATTATTAACCACATTATCAGATTATTAATACTTATGCATAAATTCATTAGTAGCATTTTACCATTGTAGCTGGTTGAGATGATTTTAACTACTTCATGTAGGCTCATGCAGTTTCATACAGTGGTTCTCAACCTAGTGGCCAAACCTCTCAAAAGGGTCACAAGATAAATCTGAGGGGTCACGAGATGGTTAATGGGGGAGGGAAAAGTTCTGAGCAAAGTTTTGCTACACAATTTTCTATTCTTATTTCAAACTTTTTTCTCATCTTTGTCTTTTTTGTAAAGTATCGGATCATTTTACCTTTTTGGGCTTCAGTTGTCTAACTGAAACCTTCTGATGGGAAATGTTTCTTCGATGAGCTGCTAACAAATAATAGGCATTTGAAATGTGACGGTGGGTCTAAGCTAGACACTGTTTTTTTGTGAGAGGTCACAAGACAAAAAGTTTGGAAATCACATCACTGCCATACCCTTTAAACACTTTGTAGTGTCTGATAAACTATCATATATTTATTTGTGTAAAATAAACATACAGTAACTATAGCTGTCAGACAAATGTAGTGCAGTAAAAAGAACAATCATTTTCACACCAACACAGTTAGCATATATTTTCAGTGGCTAGTATGGCTAAAAAAAAGTATTTGAACGGGAAATAGTAATCAAAGACCCAGTGCAGCTATCACAAAATGCTTAGCTTTATTAAAATAGACATATTGGGAGGTTGGATAGTGAAACCAGTCATTTTGTGGCATGCGGACATTCAGTTTTTACCATTTCCTTATGTTAAATTGGGAACATTAAGTTGTGCAGTGATAAAATGGAAGCATCTAACCTGTACAGTTTGGTGAACGTGAGACATCAAACTGCTTCGCATGGAGGGTTGGTTCGTCAGATGCCACTGACTCAGCTGACGACGTGTGAAGCGTGTATACAGCATTTTGTCTTGCTGCATCACTCAACAGGTGTTTAGATGTACCACAGATAAAATGTGCCAGTTCTCAGTGTGTTTATTCACTTCCCAGGCAACAGTGATGTTAAGACTTTGTGTCCTACATGGACATGTCCAAATTTATAAGCTGAGGGAAAAAAACAAACAAAAACAAATCACATGCACCTCATACTTGTGATTTTTCAATTTTGCCAAATAGAGGGACAAAATAATCAAGTCGACAGGTACAATTCAGTCATTTTCTAAAACAATATTCATCTCTAAATATATATTCTGAGAGCAACAATAAGTATTAAACCTTTCGTAATAAAGTGATTAGAATCTAAAAGCACTGTTTACAGGAAGAATTACAAAAACAGTTGAATTATTGACCCATTAATGACCTTGCAAATGCCAAATGAGTAAACTCAATAATAAGCCAATGTACTGTAACCATCATCACAGTAAAATGGGAGGCAACATGAATGTTCACTGTTCAATATAGGCCAAAGTCATAAGGCATATAGCAGCAACTTGGAGTCTAACTGTGCTCCAACCTTTTATGTTTTCTTATGATGAGTAGAAATATATTGCACTTTGAAGACAAACTGAAAAAATAATCTCACAGGTAACGACAGCAACATGTACCACCGACGAGAGTCATGCAAGTGGTGATGGGCTCCTCGGAGGCCTCTTTTGAGGTGAAGTCGACCACGGCGAAGCTGAATCTCTGTTGCACGGTCCAAGTGGCGAAGGGTTAACCATCCAGTGGCGGTGGCAGCCCAAACTGCTGCACTTCTTTTTTCGAGAGAGAACCGATTTGTATACTGGCAAACAAACATCTCCCTTTGTGGCTCTGATGTACTGACATCTTTGTAAAGTCTAGCTGCCTGTCCTTCTGCCTGCTTTTCCTCTTGTGGCTCTTGCTCTTCACAAAGATCACTTTTCTCGTAGAACGCAGACGCCCGCATCGCAGCGCTGCGTCGCCATTGAAGTAACGACTTCCCAGGAGTCGATAACCGGGTCGTAACATTCAATACTGCTGAGAAGTGAGTTCCCATCATATCTAGAGAGAGATATGAGACAAGCAGAGAGGAACTGAGAGTTTGAATCACAACAATTAACAATGTTCAACATTGTAATGTTGGGCAAGGTCACATTACTAAACTGTGATTTGCCTGCAGCGGCCTGTTGGACCAGCTCAACACAAGCTCAATCAAAAGTTCATTTAAATGTTCTGTTGAAACTATTTAAGTGGCACACTACAACTGTCTGTGCGTTTGTACCTGACTTAACTAGCAGACTGAAAACATTTAACAGAAACACTGCAGTGGCTCCTCTGCAGTTTCCAGCACCATGTCTCAAATAAATTACCCAATTACCCAGATACACTTGATAACTTGCCTGATAAGGAGAGAAAAAGAACAAACTTTGCTGATTTACCATCATCATCCTACAAGTGATCATTAGAACACACGTGTAAATCATCTATGTAGCTCTTTTAACTCTTGAACAACTTAAATACGCAGAATCTATATTTGATGCCCGACAATTAACATCCCTAAACCTACTTCAAGTTTCAAGTATTTCATACAGAAGTGAACACAAACCAACTGCTGACTGAGGGGGCAGGAAAGATGTTTTCAAAGATCAAAAACCTGCTTTGGAAAAAGTTTAGAGGAAACTTACAGTCTACAGTTAAGTGAGTTAAGCTCAAACAATTCTTACCCTCGCTTACAAAGTGGAAATTATTTATATAATCTGCATACTTTACTTTTAGCTATCTAAAATTATATTTTTGTTTCCCTGTACTTATTAAATATCAACACTGAAAAAATGCTTGATTTGATCCTCTAGGGCCTCTAGCAAATTTACTTGTTGATTAACTTGATGCTGCACGCTAATGATTATTTGTACAGAACAAAAACACACCTGCCTTAAAAAAGAAAAGAAAAAAAAATAATATAAACGGCTGCGTCGGTGAGGGCGTGTTGATTCAGGTTCTGGTGAAGCATCGAAACATGATCCAAGAATTCCAGTTTAAGCAACAGATCCATGAGTTTGAAGGATTATCATTATCCTAACACTTCACAAAACAATTTATAACACTATGAAACAGGATTTGGAGAAGACTCTGGGAAGTTATCAGCAATCTTTTTAACAAAAATTGTGAGGTAATGAGGTAAACAGTAGCAATATGTCGTCCATGTTACACAGTAATCTACCACAAATTTGTGCATGCATGTATCTGACTGGCCAACGCTAAATCTTCCCAGACAACGTCTACAGATGACTGCTTTATGGACTGGCCTCATTCAAATGAGTGCAAGTTGGTCTGATATGCACACATTACATGGTAACTTACAGTATATATGTCTACACTGACTATTTCACTTGGTGAAACCACTGAAAATCTGACAACTGTGCATCAACTTACTGAAGATCTATGTTCAATCATGCCAACATTTAAAAGGACACGCTTTTAAATGTGTATCACATTACAATGTATATATGTCATATATACATTAATGATTTACTATTATATACTATTCCTCTTATACATACAGGCTATGAGGAGATCCTCTTGTGCAAGGACTACACTGTAAGGAACAAAATCCACAGTCCTTGTGTGAGAATGCACTCTGAAGTTAAGTGAAGGCTAATGTGAAGATTTAGCAGTCTGGCTCAGCCATATCAAGGAATGCATCCAAAGTTACAGAGTTTATTAGTACAAAATTCCTTGTTTGTGTTCCCTTGGACATGGTTTCCTAGCTGAGCTGCACTGCATAGTTGCATTACCAGGACCAAACTCGATCTGATTTGGCTAAGAAAGAGACTGCTGAAGCTTCATGTTTACTTTGGCTAAACTTCCAGATGCAAGTTTGCACTGAACCAGGACTGTGGATTTTGTTCTTATCAGGTAGTCACTCTACAATAGGAGCAATAATGACAGCGGCCTAAAAATCTCTCAACATAAATGTGCTATGTGAGTATTGTAATAAGACCAACTTGAGAAAAATCAGACCTATCCTTTAAAGCCGCTGCCACAGAAACCAGGACACTCTTTCTTACCCGGCGATGGCGTAGAGACGTCCTCGGAGAACCGTTGCTCCTACGTAACATCGAGGAGTTGTCATACTGGCTACAGTGGTCCAATAGTCTGTTCTTATGTTGTAGACCTCAACAGAGTCGAGGTGTGAAACACCATCAAAGCCTCCCACTACGTAGATGTGGTCATTGAGTAAAGCCACACCAGCCCCTGAAAACAGAATAAAAGTCTCACACAGTCGCACACACAGTTCGCTGTAATATTCGACTTCTTCTGTGTCAGTTATCTCACCCACCTGACCGTTTGGTGGCCATGGGTGTAACACTTGTCCAGTGGCCTGTGTGTGGGTCATACCGCTCCACTGAATTCAGGATATTTAGTCCATCGTATCCACCTATGAGGAGATATTAGGGATACGATTGACCAATTTTAATTATCGATTATTAGTTTAAGTTGTTTCTCAAGCACACATGCCAAACATTCTCTAGGTCCAGCTTCCTCGAGGATGACGACTCTCTTCTTCATGGTTTAATAGTAATGTAGCCAGGTGGATCTGATGTTTGGGGTTAAATGGTCAGGACCTGTAATTCAATGCATTGACATTGGACAACAAGGGGCGCCTGTCATAAGGGGATTACTCTACTCCATGCAAAGTTGGTGCACAGCGTGTAGTGAGCTGAACACACTGTCTGTTGTCTGGCGTGCTGAGAGGAGCTACCTGAAGCGAGCTGACGGTGTACGCTGATGTTCCTGCTGTGCTGTGAGGAAACTATTTTGGTAAACTATTTTCACTTTACCCCTTTCAAACTGGGAGGGAAATTAAATGAATAAATCTGTTTGTAGGAGACTCCAGTGTCTCAGAGGCGGCTTGCCTTGATGTCTTGTGGTCGGTGCTAATGGACCTCTTTTACGAGGTGCATGCTTTCATTGAGTGTAGTTTCACTCTGAATCTAATTTATGTGAATCAAACGTTACCTGTTCTTGTTGTACAGCCCCTTGAGCATTTCTGGGATCTGCTGTATCGCTGGTGGGCTGTAGAGTATGTTTTACTTTTGGGTTTGTTGCTGTTGTGACAAATAATTAAATCAGGTTAATTATGTTGTTTTGTTTTGTTTGTAACTGCTGAGCCACTGCCTCTGTGTTCTTTTCGTTTTCCTTTTTTTAATTACTTGTTTCTCTTAGCGCTCACCTCATGTTGCTCTGAGCCAGCACCTTGTCAGCAATACTGAGTGCACTGTATATAGGTTGTGAGCCTCTGCATATGGTTGTTGTGTTCTCATGCTCCTTTAATCCAATACATATATTGCTAGATGGTGTTTGTGTGAATCGCTGGCAACCAACTTATTTCTTTGTGCTTAAAATTGTTTTATTCCAAATAAACTATATTTTTGTGTGATAAAGAAAGACAGCAGCGTCTGAACAGGTTGTTCGTGGCTTTAGGTGCCACAGTATCTCAGGGAAACAGGGATTGAAGTGAAAGTGTCATATCTTCAAAAAGTCAAAAAGTCAAATGAAAAAATTGGCATGAGGTCTTATAATCAGAGCGGTCTTATATTTGAGCTGCATGTTGATAAAGGATCATTTTCATGCAAAATATCAAACATTTGTTGGCTCCAGGTTTTCAAATGTATTTGGATCTACTGTTTTTTTTAATTTATTTATGTGTATGATGGTGAACTGAATGTCTTTGGGTTGATGGTCCACCTCACTACACCGCCTCAGGCTCAGGGAAATTAAAATGTCAATTTTTCCAGTTTTCTAACATTTTATAAACAAAATGATTCTTCGATTAGTTTGGAAATAATCATCAGATTAACTGATAAAAAAATAATGGTTTGTTGCAGTCCTGATATGGCAAGATATTTTCTCCATACCTAGACAGTATATAAGTCCACTGGCCACTACCAGACCAGCTCCTTCTCTTGCTGTCTGCATATCTCCCAGCATGCTCCACTGGTCAATGTTTGGGTCATATCGCTCCATGCTGGTGTGACGCCGGCTGCCATCGAAACCTCCAGCAACATAGATCATGTCTGCAAAGAGCCAAATGAGATGGAACAAAAATGGAGAAGCACGGCTGTATTGTTATTGCATACTTTGCTGAGAGAGAAAGAAAACCTTCACACTGGATTTCACAGAGAGGCAAAACCTGTGAAGGTAACTATAACTCCCTCACCTCCGAGTGTTGTGGCCCCTGCGAGGCCACGACGCACATTCATGGTGGCGACGGTGTACCAAACGCCGTCCTCGTCCGCTGTGTAGTCCAGGCACTCCACGGAGCTGAGCCTCGATCGACCGTCGTAGCCTCCGATCACATAAACTCGATCGTGGAGAGAGACCGTGGCGACGTAACGCCTTTTCCGTGCAATGTTCTGTTCAAGACACACCTGTCTGTATTAGCCAAATCCACTGAGATAATAAAAATCACAAGGCTCTCTCTCGTGTATTCAGTACTTACAGGAAGGAAGCTCCATTCTTGCGTTTTTGGATCATATTTCTCAACTATGTCTATTGGTGATTGTTGGCTGCCAAATCCACCTATAACCAACAGGACTTCTTTGGCACCTGAAAAGACCCATAAATCATTTTGCTGTCAGTGTGGATTACAAAGATAATATACAAAAGAACACGCATATAGCTAGCTTGCAATTGAAAACAGGATTCCTACCTAATCTGGCTTGTGTGCGTGGGCCCTGCATTTCACTCCTCAGCTCCGGTCTTAAGTGGAATTTCTTGGCCTCATCAACAAGGTCTCGACATGGCAGGCTACACCGAATGAGCGGCTAAAACGTGTAAAAACGTGCGTAATTATGACGGTAACTCGAATAAATACGTCAACGCGTATTCATTCATTGCAAGCTTGGTGTATAATTACACTACAACCTGCTGCGTGTCACCTGGCTCACCTCGGCATCAATGACATCTGTAATGTAGCGTGGGGTCAGCAGCGGCATTCGAACAAACTCAAGCATGTCAGGCAGGTAGGGCTCTCGCTCTTTTCGGTTGTGTTTGACCCAGTTTAACACGGCTTCAAATACCGGCTCCTCTGAGTCCACCTGCATATAGACAGCCAATACAGTAGGAAGAATTACAGCTGCATTAATTACATAAATCAACATGATAATTAAACAATTAACTGACGGCTCAAGTGAACAATGTTGCACATTATTCATTATGATGCAACCACTGTATCTAAGCTATTAAGCTGCATATTAATCTATTATTAGTAGTTCAGAGACACAATGTGTAACAGTAAGGCAATGCGGTCTGCTAAAGCTAAAACAAGCCATAAATTCTCACCCTAAAATCTTTACATGCGATACAACACAGAGAGAACAGTTCTACTGAGGGCAAATGATGCGTGACTGTGATTTACATGTATGGTCTAGTTTTATTTTAAAAACAACAAAAATGACAGGAAGAAGCATTTGAGAGAATTGATGATCTATAAATCATCGTGTGATAATAACTGTGTTTTCACAAAGCACAGCATGTGGTTTGGGTCAGGAATTTCCTGAGCACAAAGGTAAACTTAAATCAGGTTTTCTTCTCTGCAATTTCATTGTCAGCCCAATCTGCAAACCTGAGTGGAATTGGAGGGGGGGCACACTGACTGAGATTACAGCAGGTTGGTACTTGATTTTCTCTTCTTTTCGCACTCTCAGTGTTTGAAAGACAATATGAAAGCTGTGAAGGTCGAGCTCAATTCACACTATTTAAATCACGACATTTTTCAGGCATCTTCACACCAAAAACTAACCATTACAGTTATGGCAGGTATACTGTATACACAGATGTATTGGAGAGCAAATATGTTGTTACAGATCAATTTCAGGTTTTTCAAATAACAAATTTAGTCCACAGTACTTTAAGACACCAAAAAGTAGAAAAGCTCATTTTTCCTACCTGGATTTCATCACATTTTATAAGCTTTTCCACTTCAGTCTGGCTGAGCAGCATGAACTCCTCATGCTGTACCACCTCGGAGAAATGCTTTTGGGAAAAAAGCTCGGCGGCCTGCATCAGGTCAAGGCAATTGTGAGTTTCGGCAAAGTCACGAATACCCAGACAGTTGGAGGGATCAAGCTGACTCTCCAAAAAATCACAACATGCTCTTTTCACCCCTGAGGAAAACAAATATACATTTGTATATATTTGTATATACACACGAATCATTGAAATCCAGCCAAACTCTAAAACAAAAAAAATTCTTTTAGATCACTCATCGTCTCTTAATTTGGAAATGCCTAGGCTACTTCATTTAAAAATATAGGGCCACACCATGCCTCAGGGTCTCTGCAGGGTGGGTTCACCACATTAAAATTAAAGGGGCTATTTGTGAGTTTTTCCTGCGGCCGAACATGGCTGCAGTGAGTTGCTATCGGAAAGGGATGAGACGGACCAGGATTAGCTGGTTAGAGCGCTAACTTCAGTAGAAGAAAAGGCATGATAGTGACAAAAGTTAACATCTGTGTTACTTTCCACCACTGGAAACTGCTCTTGGTGAGTAAAGGAATGAAGTTTGATGCTGAACTCACAATGTTTCTTCTAGACTTGTAATTAAACAGCTGTTAATGCTAACACTGGCTATGTAGCAAATAGCTACTTTAAAGCTAAGACCTTTTTATTACCACATAGAATGACATTTAATACCTGTTTCATGATCATACTGGCCAAAGTATGACTGTATGATGGAAAACCAGTGATGGTGAGAGAATTATTTATTATAGCATCACATTTCTGTCAGTACTTCCCAGCAGCCCCTAACAATAACTCGTAATGATATAATTAAATTATAAAAAATTATGGACTCATATAAAAAGCAGAAAATCGATGGATGACGTACACAATTTAGAAAAAAAAATTCATTCATTCAAGTTTTTGCTAAAATCAAAAACATGATTTGTGAGTTTCCTTCAGTAGCTAATTTAGCTATCAGTGATGACAGTGCTTGCTACAGGTCTGACGCTGACTGAAATACTACAAAAGAAAAAGAACTGAACAGCTTCCTGCGGCACAATCCAAAGCCACATGTCCAACAATCACACTTTTAGTTTACAAGAGGTGTGTTAGGTTTCAACAACCTGTGATCAGATAACATTTTATAACCAACATTACTGCCAACGACAGAAAAGAGGAAAAATTTTGGACTTTTGTAAATGCTTCGAGAAAGACTTTTCAAGACCTGCAAATACCCTGTCGCTGTTCTCACTGCGATATCAGCAGCAGGCAGTCCTACACCTACCTTTAAGCTGCAGCAGGCATGCTGCTGGGAGCAGTTCTTGTACATTTTCCACTGTCACTAGCACTGTCTCCGTGTAGACAAAGTCCAACAGGATCTCCATAGTCGACGCATTGAGCCCCTGAATGTCGACGAAAGATTTCCCCTTTTCTGCAAGCTGCAGAGCCACAACAACAAAGACCATCGGGTGTAATGACAAGAAACATACTATTAAGGGTTTACTTAAGAGCATCAAGTATTTAGTCTAAGTCTAACGCTGGCGTAGAGACTCAGAGGAAAGCCAAAAAGGGAGATGAAAAAAAAACACAGATTGAGAAAAAACAGATTTCATACTCAGACATTGACAGAGAATGGAAAAATTATTCTCTTTGCTATGTGTGACATGCTTTGTACAGCAGAGGCAAAGAATTTGATATATTTGACTGTTAATATTGAGAACTCAACAATAAAGATTTTTAGTGTTACCTCGCTGGTAAACATGGCACAAAAGTAATCACTGCAGGCTGCCAAGACAATCCGGTGAGCTGGAAAATCTGTGTTCTCCACCCTCAGAGTGATATCACAGAGTGTGTTGCTCTTGCGAAGTGAGTTCATTGCATTGAGGATGGATTTGGCATGGGAATTGGTCATGATGTCTTTGGGAGCCATGCTGCCTTGAGAATCTCTCAAGGATCTCAAACTGCTCAAGGAATCTAAAATAAACAAACAACCACTGTTGAGAATCACCTTCAGGGACACAGTGAGTATAAAAAACCTCCACTTATCAGCATGGTTACACACTTACTGTAGGTATTGTCATTTGGTGAGAGAGTGACTGTGTATGTTTTGTATGCGAGCAACAAGATGGGTGTGTATGTGTAAAAGAATTCAACAGATGACTTGTGTTGCACAATGACACAAACAGCACATTTACTGTATGTAACTTAATGTATAAAACTTGAAAAACAAAGATGGAAAGTAGCAGAATATTAGGGCTGCAACCAATAACTTTTTTCATTATAAATGAATCTGCCAATCATTAATCAAATAGTTTGGTCTGTAAAACATAATAAAATAGTGAAAAATGAGTCTGAGGTGAATAAAACTTAAAATAACTTTATGTGTTTGACCAATAGTCCAAAACTCAAATATAATCTGTTTAAAAGGCAAATCCTCAGACTGGAGAAGACAGACCCATTAAATGTTTGGTGTTTTTGCATATATATATTTCATTTCTGAGTTATTGGAACTTCAGTATGTTAAATTTAAGAGATTTCCACTGCATTTCAGAGGACAATATCATATTCTATACTAGACTATACTATAGATAGCAGATTAAGATTTCCCATGCCAAACATTTGATAAACAGATAAAAATGTTTTGCTTTAATTTGAAAATACACCACATTATAGCAGCAGTTACATCTCTCACAATATGAAAATACCTTTTTGCAAGTAAATCCATAATGTAACAGACTGAAACGGTCTCTCCTCCAGTGCTGATACTTCAGTATTTCCTCGGTAACATTTTGAGTGTAGGACTATTACTTTTAAGGCAGCATTTTTGCATTGTAACGTTAGTATTGCTCAAGCGACTTACCGTTAAAAGATTTGAATACTTTTTCCACCACTGGGAGGCAATAACTATAGCTACACATTAGCTAGCCGCAGCCAACGACAGCTGAGGGCTAACGCCAACGCTACACAACAACAACTAAGAAAACACAGCCATATAAAGTGAGCTGATGGCCAGAGGAAGACAAGACATGAAGCGACACACACAGAAGGACTTGTCAGAAATTTGCATAATACCTGTCGCTGCAGTAAAGCTGATTCAAAACGTATAGGCTAAGTTGCTTTAGCTGCTAGCTAACGTTAGTAGCACCACAGTCCCTTGTCCCAGTTCTTGCTGTCACTCAGAAACCCACTCGGCTACAGCTAATCCATGATGACCTCTGCCAGGTCACTCTGTGCGCGCTCACCTCGAGGACACATATGTCTGTAGTATCAAAATAGTTTCATATTATCGCCGATACGAGTTTTAACCAGCTAGAATATTTCGTTAACTAAACAGCAGCAGGTCACAGCAGCAGCATTGACTCCACGGATTGGACATAAACACACCACATTACGTGTCTGTACGTGCGCGCTCCCGATGCCGGACGCGTTAAAAAACATATCAGTAGACTAGGAACATGTAACTCTAAAACACACTTCTTTTCTCGAAAAGTTGGTTTGACCAGGTGATATTCTGAGCCAGTGTCACTTTGTTTCACAGGTCATTATTTCATTATTACATTATTACCTGATATTCCTGGGAAATTTCCTGGAAAGAACAATTCCTGGGAAATCAGAGGTTATCAGTTATTTCAGTCATTTTAGTTACACCTTGTGTTGAGTTTATAAGTTATGAGTTATAAGCAGTTAATTGGCAACAATTTTGATAATTGGTTATTCATCTTCTTTATTTTATTAAAAATGCCAAAAAAGAGTAAAATTGAGGATGAAAGACCCATTATAGTTGATGTTGTACTTAAGTGGTACAAATTTCCAACAAATTTCCTATTAGTCGCATTATGTAGACCCAAATGGCATGGAGTGAACCTGGGGCTTTTGGGGCTCCTTGACGTCTTAGGCCCCTGTCCAGTTGCTGTGTAATCCTGCTCCTGTTGGTCCTAATCTTCATTTATTCCATCAAGTCCCGTCTCTCTGATTTAGATTTCTTGCAGTTAACAATCACATGTTCCACAGTTTCTGGTTCATGGAAATTTTCACAAATAACTTGCTTCCCTATAATGTGAAGAATGCTGTTTAGACTGTGACCTGTTCTTAATCTAGTCATTATTCCCTCCTCTTTTCTATTTCCTCCCCTGCTTCTCACGCTATCTACTCTGTTTTGAATTGAATAAATGTCTCTCCATACTTTCCTGATCCCAGTGATGTTACCACTCAAATAGAAAGTGCTGGTGATCACAGGATCCACCTGACTTAAGGCTAGGGAGAGCAGAGGCTGAGTCACTACAGAGTAGAACATTGTTTAAAGCCATCAAAATGGCGTACAACTGAAGAAATTTGAATAGTACAACTTTGTGGCAAGGAACTGCAGCTGCAGAATCTGTTTTATCTGTTACTGGATCCTTCCATTTACATTCCCTATAATGCACTTTTATAATGCAATTTCTTGCCTTAATTTTAAGTCATTCAGGATCTACCAACAGTGTTTATTGTAATCACCAGGTTTATATGCCATATGATAGTAACACAAAACTCCTTTTCATATACAAACTTGACTTTGGTCTTCTTCCTTTCCCAGCAGTAGCACTTTTTGGAGGGGTAACTATGTCCATTACCTCATAAATTGAGTTTATTCAGTTTATTTGAAGCTGTTTTCTGCATAAACACAGCAGCATTTCTCCTGTCTCAACTTGTTTGGCACACTCAGGTTTCTTATTGCTTCTATATGTCCATGTGTTTAATCCCTTTTTGTTTCAGTTTGTTTTTTAATAACTGTCAAACAAAGATTTTATGATCCACAGTATCAATTTGAGAGCAGGCATCAAAGTCCCAGTCTATTTCTACCAATCATTCTTCTTTCCTATTTTGCCACGCCTACTTCTGGCTGGATCTGATACATTAACCTTTGCCACTGATTTAGTTTCAAATTAAAAATCTGGTTTTCTGCTCTTCTTATTGGTATTACCAACTCCACTTGATTTGCTTTTCATCCATTTTTGCAAGATGATCTACTGTTTCATTCCCTTGAATGCACATGATCTGATAATCATAAAACACTGTACATCAGTTCCTAACCTAACAGCTCTGCAAAGATGATAATGCTTCATAATGACTATTCTGCCAGAAATTCTTACTGTGACAACAAGATTAGACCTCTTTTTTAACACGATACTGTTACGGTACCTGCAGTACTAACTAGCTAACTTAGGTACTGCAGTATCTAACTACCTCCTAAGGGGATTCTTCTTTGTAAGAAAGTCTGGACTTTGCCCTTCAAGTATCTCCTAAACAATAAAGTAAGATAAGTCCCTTTTAGACTGTACATTGACTCTCTAAATCGAAATGATGAATTAATAAGTCAAGATATGACTTGGACTTAAAAAAAACAAAACAAATTAGGAATTAAAGTTAGCATTTTGATTTTCTAAAGTAAGGGGATTCTGATAAAAAGTCAAAATTATGATGAAAAGTCAAAATTCTCACTTACTAAATGAAAATTATGATATACAAAGTCAGAATTATGCATTATTCAAAATTATAAGATAAAATGTCAAAATCATTACATATTAGTTAAGAATTATGTCTTAAAGGTCAAAATTATGAATTAACTGGTCAAAAATTTGACTTTGTAAGTCAAAATTGTGAGCTTGAAAGGCAAAATTGTGTGCAAAAAGTCTAATTCTTAAATCAAAAAACTTTTAATCTAAAATTATAAGATTAAAAGTTAATTTGGATTTGGCCTACTAAACTTTGAAATGTCAAGCAAAATAAAAAATAATGTGGGCTTCCAAATTTCAGAGATCAGTGGTATCATATATTTATTTATTTATTTTGCTATGTTATTATTATTTACTTGGCAGTTTATTTAGTGTATTTTTGCTTTACTTGCATTATTCTCTGTCCCCTGGTCAAAAGTTGTGCATCACACGTTATTAAATAAAGTATTGAAAAAAAAAAAGTGAAAAAAAAATGCCTTCCGCACCTCCTCTCTGGTGTCTACAGCCGCCACAAAAATGGTGAAGTGTGAAGTGACTCTGTCAAACAAAGTCACATATCACTGCCTGAAAAACACCTTTAAAACCTATTTCACTTTCAGAGAACCCGCAGAGGAACATTGTCTGTGAAAGAAAAAAAAAGCACGTTTTGCAGTTTTTTACCACCCAAGGACAGCAGTTCCTCGCTGTGGGAGGAGCCAGCGGCGTGTTTCCGCTCAGAGCAGGCCGACAGAGGTTACACGGTGATCTACGCAGCCGTGCGGAGAAATCACCGAAGAAGTGGCGGAACAGTTGTTTGTTACCGAGGAACACTGTCAGACTAAATTTGTTGGAGCATTTGTTGTCCACATCGGGGGAAGAAGAAGAAAAAGAGGAGGAGGAAGAAGGAGTGGCAGCTGGACTGTCAGCAATGGAAGCCGAGTTTCGGGAAATCGATGAAAACGGGAGCTGGAACGGCGTTTACCAGGTAGGACCTATCGGTAGATCAAGGTGGGAACGGACCGTCGGCGGAGCTGTCACTTTTAGGCCAAATGGTTTCTACCGCACAATGAGTCTGCAGCATTTCTCTCTTAATCAGCCTGCTTTAGTTTAGTCCGGGTTCCGCCTGCTCGGACCAGTCCGATGATTGATGAGTCTGCCTGGGTCTCAACCAAACACTACATCCCATCACTGATCTGCTTCATTTGTCTCATACTAACTGTAGGTTTAGTGTCCGTGTTTGTTGCACATGTTTTCACACAAATATCTCAGCTTTCAGCAATGATGGAGGAAGTACTCACATCTTTTACTTACTCAGACTGAATACTCCACTACGAGTAAAGGTCCTGCTTTAAAATGGCAAATTTAGTGATACAAGCATGTAAGTGTGGTCGTTGGGGGCTGCTACTAATGATTATTTTCATTATTGATTGTTTTCTCCATTAATCGATAAGTTGTTTGTCTATCAGAATATGCCCATCACAAGGCCAATGTGACGTTTTCAAATGTCTTGTTTTGTTTGAGCAACAGTCCAAACCCCAAAGATATTCAGTTTACTATCGTGTTTAGCTTCAAAGGTTAGTCGATTAATTGATCAGTCGATCGTCATAATTGGCAACTTTTTGGAAAAATGAAAAATCATTTGTCATTTTTGAAGCATAAAGTATATGAAAATATTGTTTTCAGCCTCATAGTCATTGACATTTTCAGTGATGCAGAAGATATTTTTTTTTTTTTACCTTTTCTGACATTGTATAGACTAAATGAGAAAATAATCAATCATTAATGAAAATCATCCTTAGATCCAGCCCTACTTTCACAAGAAAACCAGAAAATATTCACATTTTAGAAGCTGGAACCAGACAATTTTGGCTTTCTTACTTAACTAAAATAACTCAGAGAGATTAGCCAACTATCATAGTAGCTGCCGATCAGCTAATCAATCAATCGAGTAATCATTGCACCTCCATTAATCAGCAGAATGTACTTTAAGTATTGAAAGTTAAAGTGCTCAGTGCAGAGAAATGTCCCCTGTGACTGATTTACTGTCATTTATTTATTAGATTATTATTATTACTCGTCCAGTAATGTTACTTCTGTTTGTTGAGGTGGAGCTACTTTTTAACGTTTTACATTGGGCTGCAACTAATAATTATTTTCAATGTCGATTATTCTGCTTTGCACCTTTTTTATTTTTTGATTAATTGTTTAGTCTATAAAACGTCAGATAACAGTAAAAACTGCCCATCACAATGTCCAACAACCAAGGTGATGTCATTAACTGTTGTGTTCAGCCAACAGCCCAAAACCCCAAAATATTAATTTCATCATCAAAGACAAAGGAGGAGCTGCAAATCCTCATATACAGTTTAAAAGCTGGAGCCATGAAATGTTGACATTTTGCATGAAAAATCACTGAAATAATCAGCGTTATAGTTGCAAATTGATTTTCTGTCAGTCAATTAAAAGACTGTTTCAGATCTACTACTACAGACCTATCCAGTTTCTTGCACAAAATACCCATTAACTACAGCTCAGTGTAAATCATCTGATATTATTATATGTTTTAAACAGACCTGTGTGTGCAAACATGTTACACACACACACACACACACACACACACACACACACACACACACACACACACACACACACAAGTAGGACACTTTTTGAGAGTTGTCATATAATATCTTCAGTATGAGAAGATGACCGCTGGTCAGTTTTTCTGCAGAATTAAATATAGGAAGGAACAACACGACCCCCCCCGCCTCCACCCCAACCCCCCAACCCCACCCCTCCCTAGATTTTTTTTTATACATGCTTGGATTCTGTTTTAGCGCATGGAGAAACAACCTTCATTATTAATGTTGCATCAGACTTTTAATGTGACATAAATGTAATGTTAATACAATGCTATGTATATATCTTCTATTCTGTCACAGGAGATTCGTCAGCAGTCATGTGACCTCCCCTGCAAGTTTGCCAAATTACCTGAAAACAAGAGTCGGAATCGTTACAGAGATGTTAGCCCATGTAAGTTACCAATTTCATGCTTCAATACACTTTACTCAACAGTCTTAAACACTTAGAATATTTATTTAAATGAATGACCACTTGGGACTCTTTGCATAGTACTCCGCCCACAGTGTTGGGTCTGTTCTAACATCAGCCAATGGTGACTTACTCTTTAAAGTGAGTCCTTCCACAGAAATACATGATATCAGGCATAAGTACTGTAATAATCATCTCAAATTACACTGTTTTATTATTACACAACAGGCAGAACATTGAATCACCATGGAGAGACTAATGTAAAAAAGGATGTGACTTCCAATTCATATTTTTTGTCAGCACTGTGTATTTATGAAGGCTATCAGTATGGTGATAGTACATGTAGCTAAAGCTACAGAAGTCCTGCAGGAGATCAGGCTGGCAATATCATAATCATCCTGTTAAAGTTGTTGTTATTATTTTTTTTAATTTTTTTTATTTTATGAATTTAGATTGTTGTGGTGAGAGATTAGTTACATTTTATTTTGTTTATTGAAATATTCACCTTGAATATTAAGGTGACGGTGCAAATTAATCAACATTTAGCAGCATCAGTGTAAATGTGCTGGAGCTATACAGCTAATTTTTACCCATCTTCCAGACACAACCAGATACTGACAAATGATAAAAATAATTAATACAGCCCACAGTTGTAGATTTTGTAGGTTTTGTTTTATCTAATTTCCAGTGTTTTTGAGCTGTCCATCCTGTGTTATATTCACTTTGTCTCAGAGAGGCAACACCTAAATACATTTAATTGTTGTTTTATATGTTTTATATCTTTTATGTGATCACTGTTCAGTCATCCTGCCTTCAACTACTGATGTGTCTTTCTCTTTTTGAAAAGAGTTATTGTTCAATAAAATAATTTTCTGTGACATCACAAACGGTCCAGCAGCTGAACTGTGCTGAACTTTGTGGTTTCCTCTCTTTCACACTGAATTAACTATGCAAATTGGGCAGACCGGGTTGCAAATACTTACTGCACTTACTTAATTTTTTTTTCTTTTTAATTCACTTTTAACAAGATGTGAAAATACGTAAACTGAAACTTCTTCACACTGTTTACTTCTTAACTAAGATGTTTGACTGGGTGTCCAGAGAAGTCGACACCTCAGTATTGAAGCCAAAAGCTAACACCTGTGTTTTGTTCACAGACAGACGTTGCCATTAGTTCTCCACAGCTGTGTTGATCTGAGAATTGCATTTATACTCCCCTGGGGGTTGTGACATATGAAAAACACATAAGCACGCAGTATTTACATGAGTCTATTTTTTTTCTTTTTCCTTCTCCTCAGTTGACCACAGCAGAATATGTCTGCAGCTGGGTACAAATGACTACATTAATGCCAGCCTAATAACAGTAGAAGAGGCACAGAGGAACTACATCCTCACTCAGGTAAGTGTGGAGATGAAGAGTCTGTGCACTCCTTTGGAAATGTGGCTGCAGCTGGACAGTGACAATCGTCCTTTACACACAATTCATACCCGTTATTTGTAGGATATTATGAACAAATACACATGGATGGAAGCATTGTGTCATTAGCAACGGCGTAGGTTTGTCTTCATAAGTGTGTGAGGATACGACTGTACTGCCTCCAGGGCATTTTATATATATATACATATATCAATCTAGAAAATAACTTATTATGATGAAATTGTAATGTAAGCTGTTGCAGTATGAACGCACTGATCTTAATTCAAATAACATTTAGTGTCTGTGATAGAGATACTTTATGTTAGATAACGTAGCCCCTCTTTAGCATTTATAGGCAGTATACACTCAGTTAGACACACTTAGCTAAAACTAATGCAGTCTAGTACAACAGTCCTGCAATGAATCTTTTATATATAATATAATATGTATGGTTATAATGTGGTTCTGTTGTGCTGTATTACATGTTTCTGTTATTGAGCCTACCTTCATTGATATGTGTGTGGTGGATAAAAAAAATGGAAACACCCTTCAGTATAATACAAAATAGGTCACAGTACCACAAAGTGCATCCTCCAAACTAACCACACAGTTGGATCAACACCGCTCTGAAACAGTTTCAAAACAAACTGAACATTACAACCTTCATGAATGGAGGATATATTGCAGGATTGTTGTATTAGGCTGGATTAGTTCCAGCTAGGTGTGTTAATGTGTTTGCCAACAACTATAACTCTGAGGCTCAGGTATAAACAGATAATGAATGACACTATAGTAAAACACAGGTGTAATCATATGTAACGTGTCTTCATAGGAGAAGTTATGACAAATACTGTACTTTAATAAGAACTTAAAATGCCCTCATAGCTGCATATAGCTTCATTACAGTGTGTTATGAACCATTTATTACATGTGTTATATCCTGCCTAAAAATGTTAAAAAAATTGACTTTTATTAAAATGTTATGGATAATTTCAAATCCAATATTAAATCATAGATTACATTCATTTAATTTAAAACTGTCACAAACTGGACCGCAAGGCCGTGACAAAAGAGGGAGACGCACACAACCCAGCCAATTAACAGATGTTTTATTTTATTTTATTTTTTTTAAACAAACAAATAAATCTAAGGGCAACTTAAACTAACAATTGTGTGTGTGATCAGTAAGAGCAGCAGTGTAAGTGGGTGCATGAGTGGGTGAGTGCAATGTTGTATGGTGCAGCGACACAAACCAAACGCAAAGCAAAACCAAACGGGTGTCTCAGGGAGGAGAGAGAACCAGAAACTGAGCTCCGACACGGTTTTAATAGGAGCACTGACACACAAGGCCCAGGCGCCGACGACCCACTGCCACACCCACCTCCAGTACCTGCAAAGAAAATGGCCTCACAATCCAAGCAACAGGTACACGGGGCAGAGAGGGTCTTCACAAAAACGTTGAAAGTGCTTTTTAAAGCCATGAATGTTGCCGGCAGTCTTCCTCTCAGATCAGCCGTGATGAAGCCTGAGAGGCAAAACACGGTGCAAAAAAGAAAGTCCATAAATCACTTGCTCACAAAGCTCATTGTAGTGAAAACATGGTACCAGTTAAAGGCAAACGTAATTATCGGCTGCTCTCGTCTCATCTGGATTTTGGCGGCTGGACAGTGAGAGGACGGCGCTCAGGGATTAAATCAAACAAAAATAGGATTTTGAAAACACAACTCTTGTGGAAAAGTCACACTCGGTCATTAGTACATAACTGAAGTTTTGAAACGGATGTATGTTGAGCTAGAATATGAAGGCAGCAGACTGATGATTTAATATGCTCTTTTAAGAATAGTATGATCATTACATTATCAAACGCCTTGCCATAATCTTTAAATTTCTGCTCTTACGTAGTGATACTGAGAATAAAACCCGGTGTTCTCTGTCATTCATTCTTAGGGACCCCTTCCAAATACATGTGGCCACTTCTGGGAGATGGTGTGGGAGCAGAGGACCCGCGGTGTGGTGATGCTGAACAGAGTCATAGAGAAAGGCTCTGTAAGCAGTGGTTTCTTTTTTCCTCACAGTGTCACTTCTTAAGCCCACTGCATTGCTCTCCGCCTGCTTGTTACGCTGTGTGAAATGTGCACTTTCATTTGGTTTTAGGTTAAATGTGCCCAATATTGGCCACAGAGGGAGGAGAAGGACGCTGTCTTTGAAGACACCAATTTCAAGCTTACCCTCGTCTCAGAAGACATCAAGTCTTACTACACAGTCCGTCAGCTGGAGCTGGAAAATCTGTCTGTAGGTTTTCACCTGTGGTGTTTTTTTTTTGTTTTTTTTTTTTTAAGGTGTGTGCACAAGTAGACATGGTGTCTACAGTCTATTAAAGCATGTTCACAATTTTTTAAGTCCTTCTTAGATCAATAGTTGATAATCGGGCGCCCATATAAACCTTGAAACAGGTTTTACTTGCTGTAAACATTCCTCCTGTTCATAATAGCAAAGGCTGAATCAGTCAAATCAAGTGGGGATGTTCCAAAGTTTGTTTTGTACAAAATTACAGGTTTTTCTATTTGATCTTCTTCTGTAGACTCAAGAGACTCGTGAGATTTTACATTTTCACTACACCACCTGGCCTGACTTTGGGGTGCCAGAGTCTCCCGCCTCCTTCCTTAACTTCCTGTTCAAGGTGCGAGAGTCCGGGTGCCTGAATTCAGACCAGGGGCCAGTGGTGGTGCACTGCAGTGCTGGCATTGGTCGCTCGGGGACCTTTTGTCTTGTGGACACCTGCCTCTTATTGGTTTGTACAGAGCTCTGCTATTGAGAAATCTTGATGTTAACAGACTTTTATCTATTGCACCTTTTTCCCATTGACACAGTACAGGAAATTAGCTTGCACTTATCTAGAAGTACAACAGTAGAATGAATCATTACAAGCAACCAGTGACACATCAGTTCCTGGGTATAATATTTTTAAGCTTAAATGGAATGCATCAATCAAGTGCCTAAAGCTTAAGATTCTTATGTGCTGAATGTTTTTGCTGTTAAATGCAGATGTCTATCCGTAAGGACCCGTCTTCAGTGCGTATTCGCGATGTGCTGCTGGAGATGCGACGCTATCGAATGGGCTTGATTCAAACAGCGGATCAACTTCGCTTCTCCTACCTCGCTGTCAATGAAGGTGCCAAATACATCAAGGGTGACACATCTCTGCAGGTAAGTCCTTCCTCTCCAGTCTGCTCTTTGTTCTTCAGTGACACATTTGCAGATTAAAAAACTGCACACGCAACATTGACTATATTTTGCCGCGAGAAATAAAAACACATATGCTACAAAACTACCAATTTTCTTCATTTAATATTAAATATTTCTGCAAATGCTCAAAGAGATTTTGTTTTTTTTCTGCAGGAGTCATGGAAAGAGCTCTCGAACGAGGAAGACGATCCTCCAGAGTTCACCCCTCCTCCTCCTCTTCCTCCTCCCAGAGACCCTTACAATGGGAAAGTTGAGCCATCGTTTTTCCCTGAAAATGATGAGATCATCCAACGCATTGAGCCCAGGAATCTCGGGTATTTATCAGAATCATGCTTTTGAAAGATTTTGTCTCAGTTTTATTTATCGTCATTGGTTGAAAACAACTTTTAGTATGTGTTACAGCTGTTCGAAAACCTTTCGTTAAGCACAAAAAAGTGAAGTTTTTGTGCCATGTGCTGCTTGTTAAAGGCGGGAAACAGTTAAATGGAGTGCAGGCGATATTATGAGGCAGCAGCTACTGGCAGGGCTTAAGGTTTAAGTATTGGCAGAGACACTACAGAACGATTTCTGTTTGGATTCAGCCACGGCAGGCCAAGTGGAATGTGCGTTTATTAGTATGCATTGTTTCCAGGGCTGATGCTATACGTATCCATATTTTCTTTTCTAAACATTAGCAAGCTAACTTTAGTTGTGTTCAGTTAGCTATGCATCTCTTACACTTGGCATTCAGTGGGTGTAAACATTTAGCAACAGCTAATATCCATGTATGAAGCGGTTTGTGTGGAGCAACACATCTTAATTTGGTTTTAAATTCAGTAACTCGTTACACAGTAAGTAGGCTATGTTTGAATTTTGAAGAGCTGCTGCATCTGGCTCGCACCTCGTCTAATGAAACCAGAACAAACAAACAGACTCTACTCTCCTCGACTCAACTGTACTCTCCTCTTATGTTCTTTCTTCATTTAGGTCCTCACAAGAGTCGGAGCTGCGTAAGAGGAACGTTGATGCTCCCCAGCCTCCTCCTGATCATGGTGAACTTCTCGATGGCCACATCGGAAGCCAAGATCTTACCTCCAAAGCCCCATCCAAATCCCAGCAGCAGCAGCACGAGGCCCAGGAGCAGGAGGCGGTCGAGGCAGCAGAGCAGCCAAAGGAAAGCTCTCCTGTGCCGGGGACTTGGTCTCCTCTACTAGCCAACGTGTGCCTGTGCACAGCGCTGGCTCTCAGTGCGTATGTCTGTTATCGAGCCTATTTCCACTGAAGTCTGTCCTTCCTCCTCCTTTTTTTTTTTTTTTTCGTTCCTCTCTGTCTCTCCACTGATGTTGCAAAGTGGACTATGCTGGCCAATCAGCCTGCTTTGAACTCTGGGTTTACTCTGCGAGTGAGTGGATTATTTGGACTTGAGCAGATTCAGGTTCACTCGTTTCATTTTACAAATGCAGTGGGAGGGGGCGACTGGGTGGGAAGAAAGTCTTGCCCCTTCTCATAACCCACCCAAAACATTCGTTCAGTATGTCATCTTGGATGCTCAGGGCCTCAGTTTTTCAGGTGTCACATCTCAAATCCGAGACTCAAAAATATAATACATATCGCGGTCAGTAGAGGAAAAGGGTTTGTTTTAGCTCCCTTGTTCCGTGAACCAGGATGAATGGCCTGTCAGCCCATTTTACATGTGTCTCCTCTCTTATTTACCAAAATGACATAATTGTATGAGTTCTTCCATTTCATCTTTTTACTAATGTGTCCGTTATGATTTCACATTTTCTCTCTTTTGCTTACACAAATGGATCAGAAATTACAGATCCAGATCTTTGACCAGCCTGTCTGAAAATATGCCAGTTTGGGACGTAGCAGTTAAAAAAAAGAGAAAAAAAAATAGTTCTTTTGTTTTGGGTCAATATTAAACCCAACAGTAAGTTGAAGTATGTAAAAGTAAGAGGAAAGCAATCGTGTGCCCATTAGATAAGAGATGCATGCTGGGGTGGGCACTGAATTGTTATCTGTCCTCACTCCTGGCCTGTGTATAGCTGCAGGAGGCATGCTGGTTGAGTCCATACAGTATGCTTGTTTTGTGTGTGTGTGTGTGTGTGTGTGTGTGTGTGTGTGTGTGTGTGTGTGTGTGTGTGTGTGTGTGTGTGTGTGTGTGTGTGTGTACGTACATATGAGCGAGTGGTAGTTATCGGAGCTTTCTACTGATGCTTGAGTTAAATCTACTCAGTGAAAAATATTAATATAACATTTACAGGATGTTAAATGTGAGATATGTAGACTGGGTTGCCTCCTGGCAACTGACCCCATCACCACCCCCACCCTGCGTTTTCTCTCCCTGGGAGTTCAACAGTGGCACAGAAAAGTCGTTTTAAAAACAAAATGTTGCAGGAACAGGGTGATATGCAACTTTCTCCATTTGCCTGGCATTCTCAACTTGACTTGGGAATAATATTGACATCTTGAAGTGGCTTTTTTGCTAGTTTGGGAGAGCAGCTTTTCAGTCACAGTAGATAAAAAAAAAAAAACGTGTGGAGGCTGTTCATGCCAAGAGATTGTGTAACATAACCTGAAAGCAGCTGATACATGTTGTAAAGTAGTGTGTGTTCAGTCAGTGGAGTTATGCCAGCTTAACGAACGGAGACACCCAGCTATTTTTCGCCAGCAATACAAATACTTAATAATGTGTCACCCTTTACTTCAACAAACTCTTGAGTTGTACAGGTAGTCGTGGATTTTGAACAAACCAAAAATCAAACACCAGCACAGGGATGAAAACAATACACTGTAGTAATGATCTGTTGTGTCATGGCGTGGCCCTGAGCTGGCTATATTGTTTTGTATGATTGTCTTTTTGTTTTTTGTTCTTTAGCATGCTGCATTCGTGAATCAACAGGTTTGTCCTAAGAAGAGATTAGTTAAGCTGCTAGCGTTCAGTTTACCTTTGTGACTCGACAAAGTTCAGTACTTGAGTCCAACAACTGTACCTTCCTTTAGAATGTATAAATGTCCTGTCCAAGGACACACCCTTATTAGATAAATATATTTTTTTCAAATCAGGTTTCAGTGTGCTGAGTTTTTTTTTTTTTTTTTCTGCTTTAGCGAGGGATAAAATCTCAGCACCTGTGCAGCCATTGCACCAGGTTTTCCTGTTTTTTCTATACTTATGCTGAGCTCAAAAACATGTATTTTTTTATTTACATTTGTTGTGTTCCTTTTTAAATAAAAAAAAGTCTACTGTTGTATTTGTTCTGGTTTTTAAGAACAGAACCTCATTCTCAGTCTTACTTCTGAACAATGATTATGGTAATAAAAGATCACACAGCACTGTGTTTTTATCTTATTTTCAAGTCAGTAGTATGAACAGAAAAATCAACTGTTGGTTTTGAATCAGAAAGCACTAGAAAAACAGACTGTGTCACAAACTTTTATTTATACATTTCTATTTATTTATTCATAGGTACAGTAGCTTCCATTTTCCAGTTGTCTCAATGAGCTGATGTTGACATTTGAACATTTTGAACTATGAATGTATTTTCTCCTGAAAGTGTCTTTTCCACTTTTAAGTTTGTCATCAGTGTGAAAAAGTTGTTAAGATATTGATTTTGGGCCATTGTCTGTGGCCTTGTAGAAATAAGTGGTCAAACAGAAAAACCAGACAGTGGGAGCCCATAAATGGTTCTTATTGTTTATAACTGATCTGAAAAATGAAAAACATTAGAACATGATTTAACAAGAATTAATAATTAGTTACTATTAAATTAGTTGAATTAGTTACAACTAGTAAACTCTTTTCAGAGGATGAAACATCTGCAGTGATCTCAGAAAATCTTGTCTTCTTATTGCGCAGACAGTGACGTGCGTTAAATACACCACAAGGTGGCTCTGTGAGACTGTAAAACTCACTGGCTCTTGGCGGCTTTTCTCAGTGAACATGGAACCTTGGCTTCTTGTTGCAGCCCACTCTTTCCTGTTTTCTGTGTCGTACCTGGGTTTTCACATCAGTTATGTTTTATTTATGGTGAACTGGAGTCAGAAGCATTCCTCTATTGGCAGACCATACAAAATCTGAAGTTTGTAAGGGGACAGTGGTGCTGCACGCCACAAACATTGCTCTCATTTTATTCAAATTCAGATTCTTCCACTTATACAAAGAGTACAAAGATGCTTTTCACCTTCCTTAAATTCTAATATCTATTCTGGCCGATCTCACCACAGCCATTACTGATAGACAATTATTTCTCAACAGCCTGTTGTGAAAACACACCCAGTTCCTTTTTAATACATCGTCACACAAACTCTTATGGTTGATGTACAAACTGTTCCACAACACAAGACCCCAAGAGTGAGTTTATAGTTACTTAAGTGTAAAGACCATCACAATGATGGGGAGTAAACACTACAGGAAGGGAGAACATGTCTAGAGGCATATGCATTGCTTGTGCGAACTCCACCGCTCGGGTGTAGCACAGATGATTTGGCAAGAGTCTTGGCTAGAACTTCCTGTTTGGGAAATAAGAGGCAGGCACTGGTACGCGGTGTCCAGGAATGCAACTTAAACAGTGAGTGAGTAATAGCACTCCCAGCCACCGCTCTGCTGACGTCAAGCGAGCAAGCAAGCTTGAACAAGCTTCAGTAGGAAAACTACAATCAAGGTGTGGGGCCGGAAGTCATCTTAAAGCCACAGTTGTTTCTTTTGAAACTAAAGTCTGTCTGATCTGACAGTGCAGTCATGACTCATGCTGTTTGTGGTGAAGACTTTTGTCATTTTGCTATTATAAATAAGTGAAATAGTATTTTGAATGTATGTCATATCTATATATGTCATCTACCAGGCCTACGCTTTTTTTTAATGTTTGTGATTTTGGTGAGAAATTCAACTTCAATTTTGTAAAAAAAGAAAAAAAAAGTGGCTTGAACAAATGTCAGAAGTGCACTATGGTGACTCTTTACTCAGCCTAATTCTGCACAATGCTGACTCCACATTCACAATCGACCAAAAAGGATATCTGCCCTGCCCTGCTGACTCTTCCAACATGTGTCCTCAGTTTAGTTATTAACCTGGAACTTCCCAATGGCTGGCCAGCTGTGAGGGTGGGTGGGACGATCTTTGACTGTAAGTCTCTTTTGTAGCCTGCAGATCATTTTCGCAGGGAGCCGAGCAGGGATCAGGAAATTCCTGAATACGAAGGGAGTCAGGTCTTTCCAAGCATGACTCTGCAAAGTCTGAGTCACCATACACACCAGCACTGTGCAATGGAAACTTGATAGCAATAAGTGTGAGTACACTGTCAGGTGTACCATGTCTCTTCATGCCCTTATCATTTCAAAACTTTGCCAGCCAGGGGGGAGGGAATGAGACAGCTTTTAGTATCGACCAGTGCTGGAATGTAACTCACTACATTTACTCAGTTACTGTACTTGAATACAGTTCTGAAGTACTGGGACTTTAGTTGAGTATTTCCATTTCATCCATCTTTATATATTTACTCCACTGTATTTCATTACTCAATTACATTTATCTGGCTGCTTTAGGTAGCTACCAGTTATTTCTAGATTCGTAATGTGCATTAAAAACACAAAAATATAAAATTCACTGTTAAAGGAATAGTTTGAGATATTTTGGGAAACATGCTTATTCGCTATCTTGCTGAGAGTTTGATGAAAAGATTGATACCACTCTTATGTCTACATGGTAAATATGCAACTAAAACCAGCAGCTGGTTATCTTAGCTTAGCAAAGAGACTGGAAACGGGGAAACAGCTAGCCTGGTTGTGTCCTTCTCTAAAGCGCAGTGATAAATATATAGCTTCAGATTAATCTGTAGAAAAACCGAGGTGTGAAAAACAGACGTCACTGTCACTGGTCTGTACACTTTGGTTTATGTATGAGATGTAACATGTTAATTAGGGAGATTTAAAGGTGCTGGTAGGTGGATTTTCTTACCTTTGGTGAGAGCCAGACTAGCCTTTTCCCTCTGTTTTCTGTCTTAGCTAGGCTAACTGGTTGCTAATGGTAGCTTGATATTTAGCATACAGATATGAGAGTGATTTTGGACTCTCTGCAACAAAGCAAATGGTTTTTCACCTTTCACCTGTCAGAAGTCTACCTCCCCAATTGGACCTAGTGACAATCTGGGCGAAATCATCTTCTAGGCTACTGATATTTTTATTTTAAAACTTGGCTAAACAAATCTATCATTGGTAAAGACATTGCAGTTAAAGATTTACAGTTTACACAAACGTGGTGGCAAGAAGAAATAAAGGTAAGAAATAAATAATAAGGGGCGTCGCGTAGCGCAGTGGGTTACGCAGGCGCCCCATATATAGAGGCTACAGTCCTCGCTGCAGCTGGCCCCCGGCTCGACTCCTGCATCGGACGGCCCTTTCCTGCGTGTCATTCCCCCTCTCTCTGCCTCCCCATTTCCTGTCTCTCTACCGTCCTGTCAATTAAAGGCACAAAAAGCCCCAAAAAATAACAAAAAAAAAGAAGAAATAAATAATAAATTTCATTCCGTCATCCCTCAGCAGATAATTTGAACTTCTTGCCTTGTAATTTAAAGTTCTTAAGGGCCATTTTGTCAGCAAGTAGTGAGGCTTTATCATCATTGAGCAATCAACTATCAGCCTTAGATTTTAAACTGGAACTGGTTGTCCTCTTTCTCTGACAGTTTTAAATCTACCTGTGAGTCATTAGATCTTACACAACAAATCATTTGTATTTCTCTTCCTTCTTCCCTATACCCAAAGGCATGCCCCAGGGTTCAATACTAGGACCACTGTTATTCCTTATAGGCAATATGTAAATAACCTTTGTGATAATGCTACATTCGAGATTTGTCTCAGCTGCTCAGGGGGTTGAAATTGAAATGGTCAAAACATATTTAGGTTTTACTTATATTTATTTATTTTTACTGATCAAAACCTGTCATTTAAATCACACATTGAAAACCTTGTTTCTAAGCTGAAACTTACTTTAAATTTCCTTTTTAGGAATAAATCCTGCACTTTATTATGGCAGCTTTTTATTTTTTATTTTTTTACTTTCATTGGATTATGATGATCTGCTCTTTATGACTGCACCTGACCACCTGCATACTGTATGCCATTGTGCTGTATGTTTTATTACTTCTGCCAGGCAGGTTGTGTTTTCACCTGTGTCTGTTTATTTGTCACTGAGCTGATTTGCGCCAAACTTGGTTGAGGGATGGGGCATGGGCCAGGGAAGAACCCACAACATTTTGTGGGAGATCTGGATCATTTAATATGAATTTGAATTTTATTTTCTCTTATTTGTGGTGTGTGTTGTTTGTTGTTTGTTTTTTATTATGACCCTTCTAAAAAGCAACATCTAGTTGAGGCCTCTGGTCAACAGCTGTTAGTATTTCCACCAAAGACAAAATTTCCCTTCTAAACTTCTCAGATAGTTTCATGTATATAACAGTTCAAGGCCCAAAGAGGAACAAGAGAAAAACAATCTAAACTTCTGATGGTTTAACTTCAAAAAAGGTAATTTAATACAATATTTCACAACAAAAAAGAATTTAAAAAGTACAAAAATGTGCATAGTTTTCCTACCACATTAATCATCTCACAACCCCTCAGATTTCTCTTGTGACTCTTTGGAGGGGCCCAGCTAAACTAAGGAACTGTATATAACTAGGTCAAAACTAGGTCCAATTCAACAAGCTACAATAGTAAAATGCTAAATATGTGTTAATGCATCAGTATGAATCTAATAATGTGTCTTAAACATGGCATTGTGTTATATCTAATAGCTTATCAAATATCTGCTTTTCCTAATGACGCAACTTGATTGATTTTAACTCAAATGGAAAAACACTGTGTTGTTGTTCTCATTAAACTGCAGTCTCGCAGTCAGAGGCTGATGTCTTTGGTTACGTCTGTTGAGACATTCACCCGTGAGCAGTTCCTGTTCCTGTTCCTGTCCCCTCGTCTGCTGCTGTTGAGGACCAACCGTCCGACACACACACATTGATGTGACATATAGTACCTCGACTGTCATAGCCATGCATGTAGGTCATAGCGTAAATACAGAGGTTGGAGCTGGTGCTTCCCCTTAGTACGCTTCAAGCTCCCGCATCCTTCCTCCCTGAACGCAGCAAGAAGTGATGACGTCGACGTCGACACATGGTCAACATGTAAACAAAGTTGGCTGACCTGCCTGCCTCACCACAGATGTCACCACAGTGTTCCTTTGCGTCGCTATTGATGTTTTCATCACAGCAACAGCAGAAAAACATGTCAATTTGTTACAACTGCCGTGTGTTTCTGAGCGTCACAGTGATTCTGCGCTTGTAACACCAACCTTTGCAAATGAAGTGAAAGGTAAAATGTGTTCAACGTGATCATTGTCACATAGTCATAGTGTCAGTGGTATTGTCATTCCTCCCACCTTCGTCAACGCACCCTACTTCCTGTTGCATAACATGTCAAAGCTCACACATCATTAATACTATTAGATCTAGCTGGTATCTGTGATTTTGTGAGTGTACAGCTGAGAACCTACAGCACATTTTGCGGCTCATCAACAAAACAGTGTTGTTTCATTTTTAAAATATTCTCCTGCAGGCTGTCTTACATGCAGTCACAGGACCAGAGGAAACATTTCCCACAGATTTGTCTTTCTATCACTGATCCAAACTCACATCTGTCGTCTTTTACCAAATTTTTGCCCTCTCAGGCGGGGCTACCTTTCATTTCAATTGCAATTACCAACCTGAATGTATCCTTTTCACCTGCAGGATTGTCCCACAAATTGGAGATCATCCATCTGTCCTTCCTTGATTGAAAAAAAACATCAACAGTTTACAGTAACAACCCTACTCGTGCAGGAGGACAAATTTCACTTCCATAATATTCACAATTTCCGAAGTCTGGTTGTCAAAATAAAACAGGATGTCAGTTTAATTGACCAGTGTGTCAGAGTGTCTGGTAATCTAGGAAAGTTTTAGATGTGAGCTTTGAGGAACAGTGCCATAAGCTGAACTTTCTATAATGAAGGAACTTTGGCACCTCGAAAGATAGGTGGGGCATCTTCCTTTTTCTGGAGTCATGCCATAGTGAACTACAGAAGAAATTACTCTATGTGTATGTGTACTCTATTTGTATGCTTGTAGGAGCCAGCATGGTAAAGGTGTATCAATGTTAGATCAGTGTTGGTTTATATCTGATGAAAACTGATTTGAATGACTTTCTTGGTTTGAGGTGACACTGAACTCATACCTGCAAAACTATTGAAGATTGATTGTGAAAATGTCACAAGTTCATTTGTCTTTCTTAAATATAGTGCATAAAATATAATCTTTTCTTCAGTGGTGGAAATATGATACTTTTTTACTCTACATTAAGCTTCATTTATTTGACAACTACAGTTACTTGTTACTTACAAATACATATTTTTCACACAAGTCATATCATCAGCTTGTAAAATTTGATGCATTGTTATAGATTAAACTATCTAAAAGTAAGTAAAGTTATTTTATTTGGTTAAACCTCAACCAGTGCTGGGAAAGTTACTTTTGAAGCGCAATAGGTTAAAGATGACTAATTACCCTGTTAAAATAGGGTGAATTATATTACATATAATGGTAAATTGATGATTAGTAATGACTAATTATTTCATCAATGTAATCATCAAAGTAATGTAACTATTATATACTATATATTTCATTACTATTTGATTACTTTTCAGTAACATTAACTTAGTCTGTTTGCACGCTGTAGAAATACCAGAACCAAATGATCTCTCCAAGTTAATATTAAATAAAAACACAATTCTGAATAAAGTTAGTGAGTGGTGTTAGATCTCTCACCTATCTATCACCTATCTGAACCATGCTGTACACAGAGATGCCAAAAGAAGGCGTTGCTGCACAGCCAAAAAAGCAAAATGCAAAGCAACAGAATGAATGTCATATTCTACATATCAGCTTTTTACCAAAAGGAATTTATTCAGATGGAACCCCCTTTGTAATCAACTACATTTTGATTAGTAACTTTAATTTAATAAAAAAAAAAATTCTCAGTAACTGTAACAGATTATACTTACACTTATTTTGTAATTTTATTACTTTATCCCGTTACATCCCACACTGACCTTGACCAAATTTAACAGTAAAATGATATTTATCTATTAATGTATCCATGATAGTCATACAATAATACATTGTACATAATACAAGATATATAATATACTCTACTTAAGTACATTTTGCTTATAATATTTATGTACTTTTAGACTAAATACGGATTCTTATTGTAATGGGATGTATTTGCATCATGGTATTGCTACTTTTAAGTATGAATATGTCTTTACCACTGTTTTCCTTTATCAATAAATTTGAATATAAAGAAACAATGAGAAAGAATAAAATGTCATATAGTGAAAAATGCTCATGGAAATTTGCCTGAAGTCTAAAGTGAAGAAAATCAGCTAATCTTCATATACCAGAAGCTGCAACTGCAGAATTTTGGGGCATTTTTGCTTTAAAATATACATAAATGATGAATTGACTATTAAAATATTAAAAACAGTTGCCTAACTCCAGCTTGACCAACTTAATGACCTGTAATGACCATTTTTTACATCTACAATTTACAATTATCCTGTCAGATTACAAAATGTATTAAAAGCCCAGTGGAAAGTAAAGTTTTATCAGACTTAAATTATATAATAACGTATATATTGCTTAATTAATTAGATGTCATTACAATGTTATGTGTAGATTTAGGAAAACACCCGTTGTTCACTCTGCAGAAAGCCCCAATCAAACCTTGACATACTGTCAGTGTATTGAAATAAACTTTTCTCACACACAAGTGTTGCTCTAATAATTAAGAAAACGATAATTTTGCAAGGAGTGCCTGATGTTACACAAGATCTGGGCAGGGATACTTGCTGTGTAGTGACCGCAAGTCACTTCTGCTCGTCAGTTTTGTGTTTTCACAGTCATCTACAGCAAAATAGCAGAAGTGAACAAAGATGTTGAAATCTTGGTTCACTTCAACACAGATCATGTTCTGGTCCGTTTACCGTAGCTCAGGAGGTCTGGCTTCCCGTTACAACCCATGGTCCGGATATCCGTTGTTCCCTTTCACTTAGAGGAGGAACTGTAATTAAACAAGCAAAATCAAAGTGTTACATTTATAAGTATCTGGTTTAATTATGACGTTAAAGATGACACAGGTTTGGTTACTTACTATGTCAGATATTTCAGATTTAGGGGCCCAGACATCCTGGCCATCCTTTGTCTTTGGTCTCGATTTGAGAATCATGAGAGCATTTAGGATGGTCAGTTATGTTTTTCTTTAAAACTCTGAGCAAATATTTCTATACAAACTGTTACAGTGTCTGAGTGTTCTCAATTACTCTAAAATTAGGCTAAAATCAACAGGAGGTTAGTGCAAGTTGGCGCAAAGTCTGTGGGAAGAAACAAGATTAGAAAAATTAACAAAATCAACAAGGATGGATCTTGAAATGGTAAACACAACACAACTGAACACTTCTTTAAAACTATTTTTCAAAATTCTGTCTGGAAACAGAGCTGACTCCCAAGTACCTAATTAGAGTATCATTGGGTTAAAAATTCCACCTCAGGTTTATCTGCATGCAGCTTTATGTTATGTACAACTTCTATTTAGTCAGCAAAACATAGACATAATGTGCAAAAAAGACATGTAAGTAGAAAACAGAACAGGACCCAGAATAGAACTTTGAGGTACTCCACAGTTTAATTGTGGTCTGATGCAGGATAACAAAGAGGAAGAGACTAAATGACAGTGGTATCTGTCAGTAACAGATTACCAGCTAAATTAAAACCTTGTTGATATTCTATATTTTACTTTTTGTCAACAAATCTCATGAAAAGACCAAAGCAAATGATGAATCTAATAACAGGTATTGTCTGCTTAGCCACAACACAATATGTCTTGTTCCTCTGAGCCACAGAGCTTCATTGTTGTCCAACAACTATTAGAAACACACCTTATAGCCACACTGTTGTACCAAGTTATGTGCTTGGTTACACATTCCTTCATTACCATAAACGTTGGCACCGTAGTTTATTTTGACTCAGTGCCACATACACCATCCTGCTGCTGGAAATACTAACTAGAACATCAAATGCGAATTCATCTGCAACTGAAAATAGTACTCAACAAATGCATTTTTTCTCCTGTTTCAATGTTCTGACTTTACTACAGTGCCCAGCTGTTTTAGGGATTTACGTACAATGAACTAACACATTGTTGGTTTTGGTCTTTTTATGGCATTTGTTGACTGTGATAAAAAATGTTGAATATCTTATCTTTATATAGGCCTGACAGAAGCCTTTCTAATAGGTGCCAGTGCATTTATTAAAATCGGCCCTTTTCACAGAAGACATTTTGACTTGTCATTGTGGCTGAAAATTGTCCCTTAAAAATGCACTATTTACTCTTGTTTGTGTGTAGTTTGCTAAACCTACAGTGACCAGATGTTTTGGGAAGTTACGTGGGTCTGTAAAAAAATGTAAAAAAGTACTAAAACTAAAAAGTATGTATTTTTCAGCCTACCTTCTTATAGATTTCTTTCTTCAATAGGAACCAATGAGCTTGGGGCTGAATTCCACAGACGGGGTAGGGAGGTAGGAATGTATTGAGAGATGGACTAACACATTGTTGATTTTTGGTCTTTCCATGGGATTTGTTGACTGAAATAAAAATATTGAATATAACAACAAACAACAACCTTATCAGTTTAGCTGCATTGATAAACTTATTGATAAAAAGAGTTTATAGCTACAATCTTTAATTGTACTGAGAGAGAATAACTTTGTCATAGTTGTGTGTGCTGTTTCCTGTTTTATAACTGGTTTGATGACAAATTTGAAATTGAATTATAAAGACATGAAACAATTAGTCATGTTTTGTTTGTTATACAAACAACAGCTAAATTTTGGTTCCCCATTTTGTTACAAAGTACCATGTTAGCGCTGCACCTAACATTATAACGTTAATTATAAATCAATTTGTCTACACAATGCCAGAAAATAGTGAAAAACGACCAGGATAACATCTACAAATGTCTTGCTTTGTATGAGTAAGAGTCCAAAATTCAAAGATATTCAGTTTACTATCATGTGTGACATAGAAAAGCATCAAATCTTCACATCCAAGAAGCTGGAAACAGCAAATACTTGACATTTTTGCATACAATGTGCCTAAAATAATTATTCAATTATCAAAATAGTTGTTAATTTTCATTGTCAACTAAGTTATCAATCGACTAATCGTTGCAGCTCTACACCATACATTAATGTGTTATACAATGTGTTATACATGGTTCTAAATTAGCTTATCTGTGGAGATGCCTCAAATCCTATTCAACCCTTACTCAGTGTAATTTCATTTCAGCGCATCTGTAAGTTGTGGTATTCATGATGTAAAACAGTAATAAATATCTTGTGTCTGCTGAGAAACAGTTTAACTAAATACGTCAGAAGAACTGGATCAAAGCCAAATCAAATGATTAGAAGTGTTAAATAATACTAAGCTGTGTCTACAGCATCTGACTTTTTTTTTATTAATTTGGGAAACAGAATCTGATGCGTTAATGAAAAGTGTTTTGAGGAACAAACAACTGCTAATGAGCGTCAAAAAAAACTAACATGACTCAGAGGTAAAAAAAAAAGAAATTCTTCCATTTCACAACATCTGGTACACAGTGGACATCAGCATGACAGGTGTGTGCGTGTGTGTGTGCATGTGTTTGTATTGGTTTATCAGAGGAGTTTTTAGGAGGCCAGCTGGCCTTTGGAGGGGCCTGTGATGCAATGAGGAGTTTACGGACAGACACTGCCCATTGACGGTAAAATGTTGAAAGGGGGCTGGGCTAAACTTTTAAGAAAAGAGGTCATCCTGTGTGGGAATTTCCCTCTCTCCTGTCAGCATGTGAGCCAGGAGCAGGGAAAGACTGCGTGGGGCTCAAATAGGAAACATGGGGTCATCAAACGAAGAATGCCTAGAATGTTTGAGTGAATCTGTGCCAACATTAAGAGCTACGACTAGAGGAGCAAGAGCAGGATCTGCGCTGAAAAACTCACAACAGAGGAGTGTTGGATCTTAGATTATTCCCACGTCATTTAAAGCATTACTATGTTTCTGCGATTGTTTCTTAAACATTTTTTACAACATTTTTTGAGATCTGTGAAAAATGATCATTTTTACTTTTGTACCCAGTAAGGCATAAAGCCAGGCCACAACTACTTACAGCTATTGTCATGGACATGGAGGATAACAATGTCTTATTTAAAAGTGGGTGTAACA